CAGCAGTTTAACCACTGCACCACGAGGCTCTTAATTAATTAAGAGGTTCTTTAATTCCTCCTCACTTTCTGCCATCTCTACTCCACAACAACCCTACAGGACAGATTGGTTTGAGAAAGAGTGAGTGGTCCAGGATTATCTAGTGGATTTTTTGGCCCAGTAAGCATTGAAATTGAGTGCCCTAAGTCCTCATGGGTGGCTGTATAGCTTAGCGGTAGAGGTATCTGGCTGCAGAGCCAGAGGTCCGACGTTCCCAACTGTGTCTCTTTTAAGTAGAGCACATTGTTCCCAACTGTGTCTCTTTTAAGTAGAGCCAGCCTGTGTGGCCTTGGGCAAGCTGCAGAGTCTCAGGGCACCCCCAGAAGAAGGGAACGATAAACCACTTCCAAGTACTTCTCACATGGAAAATCCTGAAAAGGGTCACCAAAAATCAGAATTGACTTGATGGCACTTGATTAGTGATTATCATTAAGTCCTCATAAACCCACTACACTTCACTGGTTCTCATATTTGCAGTGTTTTGTATGTCTACATTCTTCAAGGGACTGAGGTTAGCATTTGAGCCTCCCAATACGTTTGAGAAGGCTTAGAGCTTTTCTGGACTGTAATACCTGTCTGTGTTTGTGCTGTGGGAGGTCGTCCCCCCTCCCAAGCAAGATCTTCCTGTGCATGCTGAATTTTCTCACTATGTGGGCAACTGAACCAGATTCCTACTGTTTAATCCAATATTATACCTAATGTATTACACACTGTCTCTCTCTGTCTTACTAAAAATAGGTTTTTTGGCAAACATCCATTAAGCCCCAGGCTGCAGCAAAATCTGGGGCTCAATTTCAATGAATATTCAATATGCTCAGTAGTAGCACCTTAATCCATGTAATCCTAACATGGAATTAAGATAACTTCCAAATGAGATGTATTTTTATTTTAAAATATTACCGGATCTTTAATCTAGCAGGATATTTGTTTTTCCAAGAGGGTGACCTTGGTTTTTGGGCCCATTTGTTCACACAGGCTTATGTCATCTCCGTGGGAATCAATGTTGTTGACTCAGGAGCAAATAAGGAAGGATATAACTTTTGATTGGCTGTTTATTCCTTCCAGATATTATGGTGCTTAATCTAGCTGTTCCAGACCGAACTGAGAATCCCAAACCCTCAACTGACAGAAGAGGTGAGTTTGTAGATCCTTTCTGCTCTGTCACTGCCACCCAAATGCCTAGGAGCCAGACTTAAGTGACGGTGAGCGTAGTTGTTTTGTGCATGCACTTGGACGCAAAATCTTCAGTGTACTTTCAGAAATAGTCAGATATGCATTTTAAAAAAATAGAGAAAAAACTTAATAGTTTACAAATATGGTAAGAACATACAAGACAGCCAGTGCCATGTAACACAGCTGTCAAGCATGCAATTTTGTGTCCAACTGTATGGATGGATGATTATGGGACAGAAAAAGTTACTCTCCAAAAATGTAATTGTTTGAAGCTCTGGTTGGATTGCCTTTGGGCTTTT